ATGAAATAACTGAGTTTTATGAAATGTGCTCGCAGTAAGTTCTCGCCTGGAACTGATCATTCCTGGGAATGCTAACCATTAGGGAAAGGCTATTAGGAGGAATTAAATTCGCGCGGCCAAAGGAAATTTGATCGTGAATGGATTTCGACCATTAAATCGCGTAAGTGATATTTTGAGCCACCGTTGGCCGATCCAAGGATAGTTAAGGGTCAGTTCGCCACTGTCCTAATAGTGGATCACGGGTGATTCCGTAGGACCACGAAACAACGTGACGAATAATTCCGAAACTATACCGAACGATCGTACCCCTCGGATCAAGTGATTGATCTTCGCGATTTTAATGACAACCGAGGTCGTCACGCACCGAACGGACTTGCACGTGACTCGATTCAGTATCAGTCATGAGTCGATTCCACAAATTTCCCCAGCAAGCCGCCCGTTAGCTCGAGAAACACTCGAGTTGCGTTTAATAGAATTTAATTATGAAATTTTTGCCCAAATTGGACACCGGAAAATTAGGAAATCACGTCGGAACATTAGGACGACGTTGCACGTGACACGTGTGAATTTTTGGTGCGCCCGAATCCTTCAGAAAAATTCAATTTCGGCAAGAAAATGAGAAAGTGACCAAAATACCCCTATAAGTTAATAAAGGGTTAGTTTTGTTGGACAAGGGCATTTTGGTCATTTTAGGCCCTAAGTTGGATTTGACATAATTACCCTTGGATATTTTTAAGTAAGATTCGATCTGGGCCATTGATTTTAAGATTAGATCGAATCTCGACCGTTGGATAAAAAAGATTAGAGGAGGGTATTTTGGTAATTTGTCAAAAAGTGGTCAAAATTAATTTTTTTAAGCCTTTGACTCTCTCTCTCTCTCTCTCCCTCTCTCTCTCTCTCTCTCTCTCTCTCTCTCTCTCTCTCTCTCTCTCTCTCTCTCTCTCTCGCCGGACGCCTCGCCGGACGGATCGCCATCGCCGCCGCGCCACGCCGCCGTCCGTACGCCCGCCGGTCACCACCCCACGCCGCTCGCCGCCATCTCTCTCTCTTTCTCTCATCCCCTCTCTTGGCCGTGAGCCTTGCCGGTCATGCCCAAGCCCCGCCGTTGACACCCAAGCCGATTGCCGCCACCCGGGAGCCGCACGTCGTCGCCGCCGTCCCCGATTAAGTACCGCCGCTTTCCGTTCTAGCCGAGGAAGTCTAGAACGCGGGTAAGTCGCGCCTAAACCTAATTTAGGACTTCGGGTATCGACGGGTAATTTCGGACAAAATCAATATGAAATTAGGTGCGGAATTACATGGATAGGGAGTGGAAATTTTATGGCGGACCTTAAGAATTAATTCGGGTAATATTTATTGGAAATTCAGAAAAATGGGGGCTGTGAATTACTGTTCATATGCTGCGAATCATTATTCACTAACTGTGGATTACTGTTCATGGGGCTGTGATGGTCCGATTGGGACGCAAGTTGAATTTTTGGAACCTAGAAATTATGGCGAGAAAGTCCCGTGAAGGATCGGAATTAATCCGACGCCATTTGGTTGGAGAAAAATGGGAATTTACGTGTTGGATGCACATTTATTTATAAATAAATATTATTGATTGAATTGAGTAGGTTGTTGTGCAATTGAGCGATTGTATATGCCTGTTGGGTGTACACGTGAGTTAGATTAAATTAATTATTGATATTGCCATGTCCTATGCTGAGTGAGCATGAATTATGAGTTAAATAATGCGTGTGTGGGCCGCGTGTAATTGGCCAATTGATCGTAGTAAATGCGTGCTAAGTGTGTGCGTGAGTAAGAAAGGAATGGTGTGTGGCATGGCATGAAAGCTTGTGGAAAGTTGTGCCGTCCTGAGGCGTGTACTGTAACGCGGGACGATGCCCGGTATTACCGGAAGACTGCCAGCCTGAGGCGTGAACTTCTACGCGGGTTGTGCAGTAGGTGGCAGATGTTGAGCCTGAGGCGTGTACGTTTACGCGGGCAAGAAACATGGCCTGAGGCGTGTACGTTTACGCGGACCTAGAAGTGTTGTGGAAAAAGGTCGCAGTGTACCTTAGGCGTGTACGTGTACATGGGTCATTGGCCAGGAATGTGGATGGAACAGGATGAGAATGGAAAGAGTATCATGTAGTCTTTTTAACTTAATGATGTATAAACATTCAAGAATCTAAAATTGCTTCATTGCGTTATTCTTTCTCTTCAAATTATTGCCAATCTCGAGGAGAAAGAATGTGTGAATGTAACATGTGCATATGTGACACTTCTCTTCTTATTTTTATTATTTATCGTGATGATAGCTTTTTGTGAACTTTAGCTGAATTTACTCTAAAATTAAATCCTCCTTTATTCATTGCCCTCTCAAATCTTCACGTCTTCAATGAATTTACTCGGTATTTCAACATGGTATTTCAACATGAGCAAGCCCTCTTATCATCGTCGCCCGCCTCATGAATACGTATGAGGATTCAAACTTGTGATCCAACAACGTAAGGTTGCCACTCGCTTTCAAAATGCGTGGGAAAATTGCAGGTTGTCTCTCCAGCGAGTGACACATGTCGCTGACCTCGTCTTCTCCCTTCCCCTGGCACGACACCCCGTTCGTGGACAGCGTCTTGATCCTCTGTACGCGTCGCCTAGTGTCAGGAAGTTCTCAATCGACCTTGAATTTCTCGCCTATTGGATGCCTATTCTCAGCCCGTGGCTTCATTTTGCTGTCCACCGCCATCCCTGAGGATCTTTCTGTCAACGTGGATACGAGGCCGTGCAAGCGCGGTTCCACTGCTCCTTCACGGATGCTCTTCCTTGGTGAATCTGCATTTAAGGCCCTGTAGCTTCTCGTGTAGTGGGAGTATCGCTCAGAGTAATCTTAAGTCGCTGTCCATCAGCTGCTCGGGGGTCACCGATGAGGTGATGCATGAAACCTTGAAGGGTGTTAGAAGAATGCCTCGGTTTGAAGCAAAACATTAAGCTTTGTTGGAGAACTTTGAGGGAAATTGTAATCACTTTCTGCGTTTGGTTTGCACTTGATGAAGGTTTCCCATTGGAGCTTTCGAGTCCTCTTTTGCTGCCGTTGCAGTTGAGTGGGTCGTTTGGTATGATGAGGCAGCAGGTAATTGAAGCCTCAACCTTGATTAAAGCTGAGTCGAACTACTCTTTTTTTTCTTTTTGGAGACGTGCGGATTTTGGAAAGCAAATTGAATGTTCTGTCCGAAATTGGTTCGAGTCTTGCAGAGGTATTGCAGCCTGGTTAAGGGACTGCCTCAGAGGCCTCAGAATGCAACCAAGCTTTTGATTGGTAATTGGTGCCTTCAGGCGAGCAAATTGTCTTTTATTTCAAATTCAGCCCATTTGTAGTATGAGGAAGTTCATCCTAAATTTTATTACACCGGAATCTTGTTTACATTGTTTGCGACTCTGCCCGTTGTCGACCGGTGCAAATGCATATTGTGCCTTCAGAATAACTTACCAGAAGACCAAAGAAAAGGCAGCTGGTGTAGGGTCGGTCCATATCCGGCTCAGTAGGCATGGACACGGAGAGCGTTTGCCGCTCGACTAGGGAATAATTCCGTACGATAATAAATCATCACAAATTGGAAAATAAGAAAAAAAAATGGCGTGCGGTAAGGGGGTGGATTTTGGGTGGTGGTGGCAAACGACATGGTCGAGTATTTTTATCCGGCTGACTGTTTGGAGCTTGGGTGGTGACAGCAAATGGTTTGGTCAAGTTCGAGCTTCGGCCTGTCGTCTCGACATTTAAGCATGCGTGAATGTTCACTCTTGTAAGATGCCAATTTTGAATAATTCGTTAGCATATGTTTTTTTAATTCAAAAGTAAATGAGGATGATCACATTGCTTTTTTTCCAAATTACATTTCAATAACTAATCCACCATCACATTAGCATCAATGTGATGTCCCATGAGTCTGACGTGGCAGGCCTTTAAGCGACCATACGAATAAACTTCACGATTATCAAATGCGCTTCTTTTCTCGTTCATTTTTTCATCTTCTTTTTCTTTTTCGCGTGACCATGCTGGTCTGTTTGAAGTTTTTTTTTACTTTTTTTCCTTTTGAGAATTTTTGCCATTGTATTTCTGAATAATTTTGGAGAGCAATTATCAAAAGTTCATATCAGGTATAAGCAATGCAAAAAAAAAATGAATGAAGACAAGATAGACGATGACGTATTGGCAGCACAACACATCCCATCTCGTCAATCTTCATTTGGCTTAGCATAAAGGAGACAAGGGTAAAAAGAAACTTCTTGATCTCCATCATCCTCGTAACGAATTTCAAGGAACAAACTATTAGGTACTTTCCAAAGATTATTGACCATCGATCGGAACTTTCTTCCATTGGAATAACGAAGATTATAACAAAGTCCGGTGCTTTCGAAACTGATCGGCAGACGATCAAGCACGTTCCAAAAGAATTCACGACCCATTTGGTACGGGGAAACGGAAGGTACGAAAGTTCGAAACGAAACGGAGAAATGAACGAAACGGGAAGAGGAATAGGGTCAGCGTTTGCCTTTCCGCATTTGGTGGTGATTATAAGAATTAACCTATTATTAATTCAAAAGATTCATATTCCAATGTGAAACGAAACATGTCCTTACTTCTTAAGAGAAGATAACAGTACATTTGTTGGGAGCTTGAGAAAGCTGTGCGCTTTTTCACGAGAGATGGTGGCTGCGGTTTCCGTCTGCTTGGCGGAGCTCTCTAGCGATGGAGACCGACGAAGAAGGGTCGCCGGCGAGTGCTTCCGTTTCAGGTTCAGGTTCGACAAAACCCGCTCTCTTCCTGATGGGCGGGTCGATTCGATTGTTTTCCGATTCGGTTGTTGCTGAGGCTGTTGCTCAATTTCTTCCGGTTGGCGGGCGGGTGAAGATGTCGTGAGTGGAACTCGGAGAAGGATTTGCTGGCCATGGTCGCACGAAGGGACTCCAAGGAAGGTGGGGGTGCTTCGTCGCTTCGATTGGCAAGAGGCTGGTGTGCCCCTTTGAGTCATTGGCTTTATCTCCTTCTGCTTTTCCTAGATGTGTTACGCTCCTTCTCCCCAAATAAACCATTTCAATTGCCAATCTAGCTCAAATTGCGTTTGATGGAGAGTTGGTGAATATTGAGAGGTAAAGTGCTCGAAAGTCTGATTGAGAACACGACGTCGAACTGAGAAGTTGGTGTTTTACACACAAATGAAGAGTGAATGAAATGGTAATGAGAGTGAAAATTTGGATATGACATAGTTGTAAGTAACGAATCCCAAGTTGATATTAGTTGAATGAAGGGATGTTTATTTACAGGCGCGATAGATTCCTATCAACTTCTAGACGAGATTGGTGCCTTAGGAGATTCCCATAACCTTACTGGCAGTCATCTGGACCAACCGCAAGTGTACCCTACTCCTGTATTGCCATCTTGTTGCTTTTTTTGGTACACCAGTTAAAGTGTCCATGAAGATATAGAACTCAAATCGGAGGGGATGTCATTTATGATGGATAGACTAGCTATGTTAGATGCAGAAATGCTTGCTACCCACATGGAGTTGGTTGGTTTAACCCCTGCAGAATACCATCACAATGTCATCAGGCATCTATATAGTTTTCCTTCGATTTCTGTTGGTGACTCTCACGACGTAATATTATTTCTGGTTTAATAAGCCCTGCAGAATACCATTTCAATGTCGTCGGACTTGAATCTGATTGATGTGCTCAATTGCATTCTCATGTAGGACAAATAATTGTCACCTTGTTGCAGATGTTGTCATCGATGATCTAAAATGTTTTGAATGTCAATGACGAATTAAAGTAGTGTTTACTGGTGTTGAGCTCATTGTGAGGATCTATAGTCTAAGTGGATGGTGTCATATAGAAGCAGTCATCCATGACATGCTCATTTTCATCAAATTAATAGTTTCTTTCAAAGTTCCATATGTCCAGTTCAGTCAAATTAGGAAGGTAATAATTTGGGTGACTCCTAAATGAGAGAATTTGTATGTGCCTCAATTATGCTTGTGGGGGAAAAGTTCGTAGATAACCGGTTATGTCATTAAGCTATAGCTGTTTGGTCATGGGTACAATTGCTCAGAACTTGGTTGATGCTGCTGCAATAAAGTTTCTTTGCGATTTCTACAAATTTACTAATCATTGTCCACTTCATGGATTAAGTTTTGCTCTGAGGAGCTTATTTTTACACGTGAAAGTTATCTCACCAATCTAGCTGTCGTTATGGAACCATGGATATGCAGTGTGCTGCTTTTTATATGCCAGTGCTTGCAGCAGTTATACATACTGTGGTACATTTATTTTTAACACGGTATAAATATTAAGCAGAATGGAAAACTGTTAAGAAGCTTGAAGTCCCATGCAGCAGCTGTGGTGTGTCTCAATTGGGAGGAGGATGCCCAAGTGAATAGTGTATGCATCTTTCAAGTTGAAAAAGTTAATATAACTTCTCGATCTTGATTCTTAACAGACAATATTTTATTGTTCATACCTTTCATGTTGTATCTAATGCTTTGTTTGCGGTTAAGTAGTTATGTTAGTCTGGTTTACTTAAATATTTCTTTTTTCAAAATTAGAATCTTATTTCACGGTCCAACAGCTTCAATATGAGTCTATGGAAGGTTTTTTTGAAAAGTTATGTTTGGTGTCAGCTGTGAGTTGTTGATTTGCTGATTGTTGACTCCTTAACTTTAATCTCTTGTTATATTTTTTCATCTTCTTTTTTTTCCAATTGGAAATATAATTATCCATTTTTTCATAGGACACTTCTGGCAACTCTTTGGCATTTGAAGATCACACTACTCGTTACTTCCCTCCAGCTCCAAGAGTTCCTCGCATGCCTGGACTAGTACCCAGAGAAACTGATTTAACTGACGATGGTCAAGATTCATTTGTAGAGCTCTCAAATTCTTCAAAGCAACGTTTCAATATCCTTTGCAGTTGAGATAGATGGGGTTTTGTGCTTCAATATATTTGGTGTCTTTCCAATCGGAAATGTTGTAAGCCTCCTGTACGTTCAGATCAAATATATAGCAGTATAGTCTATCGGATTCAGTCAATGAGTACTTCTTTCCTTTCTTGCTTCCATACAGCAGTCTTTCTTAATAAATGGATCTAATGGCAGAGATCAGTATTGCCCGGAAGTAATGGGCTGGTTAAGTAAACAACTATACTAGGTGAAGTTAATTCTTGTCAAAGTTCTAGATTTCACTTTCTATTGGTCACTTCAGAGATGACACCTCCAACTTCGATGCCGCACAATTATCCGTAGCTTTTGTTGTTTGCCCTGAGTGCTCCTTCTCCCTATACTGCAGTTGAAGCACCTAAAGGAGAATTTGGTGTCTCTCGGGGTTAGCCTGCTGTACAGACTTTCTGCTTTTGTTTTAGACTCTTGAGTTTCTGCTGTGTTTTAGGAGATTGAGAGAGCCTATACAACCATCGGTTGGGGAAAGTGTTCTGTGAGCGTGTATGCCTGTGTGTAGATAGTTCTCTCTGTGGGTGTGCAACTATTAGAAGATTTAGAATTTTAGGTACTCTGAACCTTCCTGCATGTTCGGGTTTTGTACTGTTTCAACATGAAAATAAAACGAACATGATGAACTTCACAACAGACATTTGATTAGTCTAGAAAACAAGTGCAGGAGAATTGTTCTAATCATTACCATTTAGGTTCCTATCGGTTGTCTCTTTAGTTACATGGAACAAGTCCTTATAGTTATAATTCCTTGTTAAAACTCTCCCAAATGAACTTCCTAGGGCCCACTACCTATCACCAGATCTAACTATTGTTTCCTAATGGGAGGTTTTTCAGATCTATATACAAGTTTGTGAATTGTCAATGTTGATTTGATCAAAACGTTTTTACTTGGTGAACTACCTATAGTCAATTTCAAAATCCTATGTCCTTTCCCTAGAACAGGTAATTTGCACTTTAAGATGAGATATTTTAGATGGAAAATAAAAGATGATTGATAGGAAATCACTTGTTCTGAAAATTGATGTAGCTCGTATGGTTCAATGTAGAGATAGCACACTTCCCCTCTCCACTAGTTATTCTAGTTTTGAAGCTTCTTTAACTCTGTTTCCACTTCATATAGTTGCTTGGTTATATCGAGTTCGCTATTTTCAGTTTGATAATCAGTCACTTATTGCTTCTTGCTGTGTGATTGCTGTAATGCAAGGGAATATGCGCCAGTATATACATGAATGTGATATTCCTACGATGACCAGGGACAGAAACACCGTTTGCCGACTCCTGAATGCTTCCGTCGGGAAGGTACGCTAACTACCATAGTTGCCTCTCAAGAGCCTCCATGTTCCTTCAACTAATGCGTTAATGATAGTTGGCCTTTTTGCCTCTGCTGGGACTAATTTTAATTTCCTTCCTAATTAGTCTTCCAATATAGTTCAACTTTATGGTATGGTAGATTGTCTTGTCTTTAGTTTTTCCCATGTATCAGGAAAAGAAAAATACAAATAAACCTTAAGAGACACTTTTTGACCCTTAGTTGCCCATTCGATTACAATATCAAAAGCATTCAAGTATACTCAGAAGGATTTCATCTTCTAATTGGGGATAACAGAAGTATCATGATAGAAAAGTTATTCACCTATGAGGAAAACTTTTAATGTTCCAACTGATTAGCATTTTCCCTCCTAATTTATACAATTATTTCCAGACTCATGCACCGTGCGGGTTAATGTTTAGTTTGAGATATTACAGTGGACTCACTCGATTAGGTCAATTTATTTTACTTATTAGTAAAATTAATTTATTTATTAGTACTAGTGAAAATTGTGAAAAAAAAATTAATTTATTAAGAAAAATGAATAAATGTTCGAATGATTCGGTCTATTTAAGAAAAACGGGCTTAGATAATTATGTGATAAGCAAGATTTAGATATGAACCGTAAATACTTAAAAATTTAGGGAGTCACCTTGTTTGTTATGGTGACTATATTTGAACTATGATTTATTTTTTTAGCAATTTTTCAATTGAAATCCTACCAATATGAAAAATTGCCATAAGAAAAATTAAAATGGAAACGAAATTGATACCACTTTTTAATTTGGTTGGATTTGATTTATCCACTTCTCTTTTCTTTTTTTGGTCGGATATTTATCCACTTTCAAAATATTATGGCACCTCTAGTTTTTCAATATGGAAGATGAATCAATCTGTTCCGCCCGAATTAAGAAACTTCACCTACTTGAAATCTGAACCTTCCAACTTTTGCAAGGGCACCCTCACCACGTAGCTCCATCGCGACGCCTCCTAACACATCTTTGACTTATTTTAATCTTTAAGCTCATGAGATGTCATACTTGATCATGAATATGATTTTCGCTAAAGAATTATCTTAGGGAAGTTAGTTACGAATAATTTTGTCGACTCTTGCAGACTTAATTGGGCGCAGGCTCGGGTAAACAATTTCTTTCTTGGGCTCAAGCTCACTCGCGTGATGCCACTTGAGCTTATCCAGACCCGATTGTTCAATGAAATAAATGGAGATTTTCAAATTTTTTCGACGAGTTTGGATAAAGAATTTCAAGCGCGAGATCTGGCTCGAATCGTCCATTGATCAGGTCCACAAAGCATTCCAAGATAAGCAAGCCCCGTCATCGTAGCCTCGTACATGTATTAGAGGTCCCCAAAAATGTACGTAGATTCAAACTTGTGATCCACCGTATAGCCGCCGCTCTGCATTTAAAAGGCGTGGGAAAATGGTTGTCCCTCCATCGAGCGACACGTGTCGCACTACCGGAAGCCAAAGGTTTTTTTTATGATCGAAACCGGAAGCCAAAGTTCAGGCGAGCAAAAGAGCCCTAAAACTGGAGGCTCTCCTTCCCGTTCCTCCGTTCAATCGTCGACCCCACATGGCGAAGAAGCAATTGCAGACTTCATCGTCGCCCTCCTCTCGTCGATGCGAAACCCTAGGCGACGATGCTGATCACATCAGCACCTTGCCTGACTCGGTGATCCGCCACATCTTCTCCTTCCTCGACGTCGCACACATTGCCTGAACCTGCGTCTTGTCGAAGCGGTGGCGATCCGTCTGGGCCGCCGCCCCGGACCTCATCTTCTTCTTCCCCTGGCACGACGCCGCGTTCGTGGACAGCCTCTTGATCCTCTACGCATCGCCTAAGGTGAGGAAGTTCCACATCGACATCAATTTTCTCTCGACTATTTTGCGCCTGAGCTCAGTCCCCTGGATTCGTTGGTGAACCTGCATTTGAGACTCTTTAGCTTCCCATTTAGTAGGAGTGTCTCTTGGACTAATCTCGAGTCCCTGTCTATTTGCGGCTCGGAGATCACAGATGTGGTGATGCACGAAATCTTGAAGGGCAGTCCTGTTCTTGAGTGTATTAGGTTGGAGGAACGCTGCGGTTTGAAGCAAAACGTCAAGCTATGTTCGAGAAGTTCGAGGGAAATTGTGGTCGATCGCTGCTTTTGGTATGCACTCGATGAGGGTTTCCCATTGGAGATTTCTGAGTCCTTTTTTGCTGTCGTTGCATTTGAGAGGGTCGTTTGGTATGACGAAGAAGCTGGTAATTGAAGCCACATCCTCGATTGAAGCTGAGTTGAACTTTTTTGTGAGACGTGAGGATTTTGGAAGGCGAACTGATTGTTCTGTTCAAAATTGGTTCGTGTCTTACAGAGGGTATTGCAGAATGGTTGAGGGACATTGACATTAGGCCAGAGAGTCCGCGAGCTGAGAGAGGCAAACTAAGAGACGAGAGCAAGAGAGGGAGGCAAGAGTTGAGACTCGAGATGGCTTCGAGCAAGAGGGAGGCGAGAATGAGGTGTCGAGGCAAGAGGGACTGAAGGAGGCGGCTCCGCGTGACTGCGTGAGACTAGGAGTAAGAAGTGAGAGGTGTGAGACTATGCGAGAGCTGAGAGGGATGAGCAGCGAGAATGGAAAATTAGAGTTTGGACTCAAAGCGCATGCGAAATTACGCATACTACCCCCAATCATCTTTTAAGGAGTTAATCAAGTAATGTCCGCCTCCTCTCCTGTAGTCAAATCTCTCTCTCTCTCTCTTTCCTCATTTTCTCTCCCGCCTGTTCGTTCCTCATTTCTGCAAATTTCTCTCTCTGCGAATTCTCTCAAAGGCTCCACTGGGACTGTAAAACACCAATGCCTATTTACTCTCTTTCTGCTTAGGGGTTTTCGAGCTCTATCCTTCACTAGCTCTCCCTCTCCCTCTCAGTTCGCACTTGCCACCGGCGCTTCCGTACGCTCCCTCGCGGTTCGCTCCAGCAGCTGGTTGGCCGCTGCGTTTGCGGCAGCTCCCGGAGCTTCTTGAGCTAATGGAGACCGACGGAGGAGCGTCGCGGGCGTGCGCTTCCATTTCAGCTCCAGTTCGACAAGTCGCTGGCTTCTCAGGCTCGGCTCCCGTTCAGGCATTCTTTTTGCAACCTCCTGATGGGTGGCCGATTACATTGTTCCGACTCGGTTTGGTGAGGTTTTTGCTCGATTTGCGATTGGCAGGTGAAGATGGCGTGAGTGGAATCGGGAGAAGGATTTGCTGGCCATGGTCACGGAGGACTCCAAGGAAGCTGGGTGCTTCATCGCTTCAATTGGCAAGAGGCTGCGGACAATCTTTCTCCTGGTAATTGCTTCGAATCGAGAAAGTTCTCTTTTTTACTATTGAGCGTGTTCTTGTCTTCAACGATGGCTTGTTGTGCCCTCTGAGTCATTGGCCTTATCTCGTTTTACTACTTTCGCATTTCCTAGAGGTAAAGTGCTCGAATGTCTAAACGAGAAGACAACGTTGAACTTAAGGAATTGGTGTTTTACACGAAAAAGAAGAGTGAATGATGGTGATACGAGTGGAAATTTAGAGATGACTTAGTTGCAAGCAAAGAATTCCAAGCTGATATCAGTTGAATGGAGGGACTTTTATTTACAGCAGCGACACACTCCTGTCAACTTCTAGACAAGGTTGGTGCCTCAGAAGATTTTTTCCATAACTTAACCGACGGTCATCTAGACCAACCGGAAGTGTCCCATGCTCCTGTTTTGCCATCTTGTCACCCTTTTTGGTACGCCAGTTAAAGTGTCCATGAAAATAGAGAACTCGAATTGGAGGGGACGTCATTTATGCTAGAGATGCAGAAATGCTAGATGCCAACATGGAATTGGCAGGTTTAGCCCCTGCAGAATACCATCTCAATGTCATCAGGCATCTATATAGTTTTCCTTAGATTTCTGTGGGTGACTCTCACAATGTAATATTTCTTCTGGCTCCTCTCTTTGTACTGATTGAGCGTTCCCTACAAGGAGAGATTTAGTATAGGCTGGAAAGTTTCTCACATTTTGTATTGCTAAAATGTAGAGTCTAGTCTGGAGAGTTTCTCACATTTTGTATTACTTGAAGTTAACATTTATCTTCTTTTGATTACAGAGGGACATTTCGTCACATCATTTTGATTAATCAAGTTCATTGTTGGAAATTTAAATTACTTGTGAATAGGATATATCTCAAGCTATGCTGCATATTTGTATACAATCTGGTCAAGGATGGAGGGAGGAGTTGGAGAAGGTGAAGAGATTAGGAGGGTAGGGGGAGCTGCATCCAAGTATGTTAAGTTCTTACATGACATTATCTTTTGGTAATTCAAATTCGTAAGAGCTTATGATTAGATGCCTAGCCTTGGTAATTTTTGTTATGTATTTTCACTGGAAAAATTTAGAGGAGGTATTTTTTCTCCAGAAACATCTGAATGCTTCAAACGTCATATTGTCTTCTGGATATGAAAAACATGTTGTCGAGTGCACTATAGAACTTGAACCAATCCTTGAATGGTTTCTGTTGAGATCCTAAGTTGTAGATACTCGTACACTCGTGATCCTCGCCTGAAGTTTGCTTTCATGGATCCACAACACTTTGAGGTTCCATAGCTGAACAACAAGATTCGTTTTTGGATTGAGACAATGGATTGGAGGCTGCCAAAAAGATATAGATTCCCTGTCTTTAGATGACCTACTACCCCAAAGAAATACCATATCAAGCCACCGATATCCCTCTCAGTTATATTGTACCGTTACGAATTTTGATTATCATTTTCTCGATTTATGTGTGTTCTCTATCTTTCCTCTTCATCTATTAATTTTTTTGTTGTTGTTGTTTATGAACTCACTTTTCTTTGCACGTTTCATTGTATGTCGTCAAGACTGGATTCTCCTAACTACTCTAATGTACTCCAGGTAAATGTATAACATCATTATGCTAGCGTCCTGATGGCAAAGTTGTTGTCTTGGGACTAGAAGATGGTACGGTTTTACTGCATGATGTAGAAGTTAGTTTTCTATGTTATTACTTTAGCATTACCCTCACAACTTCTCAACTAGAAATTCTTCCTGCAACAATCCCTTATCATCAGAATGTGTTCTTCTCTGATCTCTCTTGGGAAAGATTCTGAATTGCTCAAAAGCTGCATGATGCATGAAACATCAAGCTTGCTCAACAAACATTTAGCTGCTAATAGAGATGGCAATCCATGTTTATGGGTCATGTCTGCCAATGTCAAATTAAGTGGACTGCTCGATAGGTCAATCTGAGTAGGATAAGCTTAACAAATCTTATTGGAGTACAATAGCCGGCGAGCTCCGACGACCCTTGCTGGCCACAGTGATCAAATGCAAATATTGATCAAGGTCGCTGTAAAGAGCATTGTGAAAGTCATGATTACTATTGCCTTGTGAAGCTGTAAAGAGCCTTTTCTGATTTATAGTGGTTTAGGTCTTACGATATCATAAAGTCCTCTTACTTTCCCCATAATGAATAACTTCTTACAAGTTGTGTCTTTTGACTTTTATCATTTACTCAATTCTGTGGACCGTCCTAATGTGGTTATTGTGATTGCTTCATGTTTATAGCTTATTTTAATCTGGTGTTTATTAACTGACTGTTTTTGCTTATACAGGTGACTGATATATATGGAAACTACCTTTCTACTGAAGAAGCTAATGGATCTAAAGTGATCAAATAAAGGAGCTTTGCAAGTTATGTTAGATTTAAAGTTTGTATATGATATTCTTTCTGGAGGTGATTCCACTATGGATGAGGAATTGTCTAGAAGTTCAAAGCCTAAGTATTCGTTTAGGCAAAAGGATCAAAGACAGAAAAAGTCTGCCATCAGAACATGTAGATTGGTACATTGTCTTTCACAGAGATTGGATCCCATAGACTGGCTCACGTAAGTTACTGGATTTGTTTTTGCATTATATATTCTACAAGCAGACGGTACTCCAAGATGTTTTTACGAAATCCAATCTCGCTCCTAACGAATATTTGTATCCAACAGTTTTATACCTTGATTCTTTTTTTCATTTAAATTTGTTTCAAAGAGTATCTTTTAAGCTAAGAGATGAAGATTTTGTATGATCCGTGCTTAGATTAGAGGGTAAATGACAATAGTAGGAATAGAAAGAATTTTCTTTCATGGTCAAGCGGTTGCCCTTTTGTTAAACCTGGGTAGAAGTTATTGCATGTGAGCTTATTCTGATATCTGAACAGCTCTTTCACGCGTAAATGATGCTTAGATGATGATGCTCAATTTTGTGCAATTAGTAGTAGTTTTGTTTGATGTGTAGACATGTTGTCCAGAGATGATTGTGTACTAAATGGTTATTTTGGAAAAGGTGGAAAAGGAGGAACACGAGCGGCGAGGGAAGAAGGTGGGACACAATAAAATTCCCTAGGATTATCAGTGATGACTTCAAATGAATTCACCGAAAATAGTTGCAATCTTTACCTTCTTTTGGAGGTCTACTTACTATGTTAAAATGTAAGAAGAAATAGCTAATTGACACCCTTGGACCATCTATCTGGTATTATCTGAGTTATATTTACATCCCAATAGATAGTTTTGTGATTATAACTCTTCATTTTGTTGCAGTTACCTAATAGTGTTTTCTTGTTCATTCATCAAAGGTTAGAGCCATATCTGTGGGAGAATGAGAGAGTCATATTTATGGCATGCTGTCCTCTTCAGGTTCTTTGTACAACTTAATCCGTTGTATGTGGATACAGTGCAGAAACTGCCCTCGAATGCAGAATCAAATATTACGAGATGCTCCACAGTTCCCCGGTTTAAATAATTCCAATCAGGTTAAATATACCTTTCCATGTGTTTGTGTTTACAGGATAAATATTTGAGCTTTTGAGACCAGATTATCTCAAGAAAAGCGTCTATTGTTATTGAATTCTGTCTGCAGCGTACCTGCATTGTCTTCAATGAGGACATCTAAAGCAACTACAAAGATGAGGAGACAATGCAATGAGAAACGGGGACCCCAAAGATTACGGCTTGAGATTATCGCAGAGGAGGCGATCGAGCAACTCGTAACCACAAACCGAGCCGTGGCAGAGGACTGTAGCCTCCACTTTAGCTTGTCAAAAAAAAGAAAAAAGAACGGTGCGTGGGAAGGGGTTGGATTTTGGGTGGTGATGGCAACCAACATGGTCGAGTATTTTTATCCGGCCAAGTGTTTGGAGCTTGGGTGGTGATGGCGAATGGCTTGATCGAGTTAGAGCTTGGCCCGTCGTCTCAACATCTAAGTAGCGCGCGAATACTTGCTCTCTTAAGATGCCGATTTGAATAATTCATTAGCATTATTTCTATTTTTTTCAAAAGTAACTAATTCACCACATTCGCATCAATGTGATGTCTCGTGATTAATAATAAAACAATGACGTGTCATTCAAATTATCAAAGACAATTCTAAAAGTTCCATTAAGTAAGATAGAATTGTCCATAAAAGTCCACGTATTTATACTATAATAGATTGATTCACTACTAATGAGCATAGATTAACATAAAATTTTCAAGTTTTGGAAATAAAGCACGCAAAGCATTCATTACTTAGACTGACCACAATGGCCGTGATAAGCAAGTCATTTCTTTTCTTTCGAAAGAGCGAATGATACATCAAACTTTTAATTCGGTTTTGAAATTGACAAAAGGGGAAAAATACAAAAGAAAGAAGAAGTAGAAGAAATAGCAACAGTTGAATTTCCCATGTGTTTTCAACAAATGGACATATAATAATCTTGAAAAGTCGCCTACAAACTTTCAATCAAAATAAAATAAAATAAAAAGGTAAAAGTCACCAAAAATCATAAGCATGCCTCGTTCGACACATTTACCCCAAATTTCTTTTTATGACATTAAAAACCCTGAACTTATATCCGTGTGCTATATTTACCCCATAAATTTAGTGTCACGGGAAAAAGTTTGGGTTTTATGGCTTTGCAAAAGAAAGTTTGGGGTAAGCATATCATTTAGGTATAAGTTTGGAGTTTTTTCGTGTGACAGAAGAAAGTTTGGGGTAAATGTGTCACACCGATACAAATTTAGGATAAATATGTCGCAGTGGGCAAGATTTAGGTGTTTTTTTGTGGTTTTTTCCCCAAAAAAAATGTAAGAATACGATTGGATTAGATTAGATTAGAGAGTTGGTTTTTTCCAGCTCTAATCCTTCACGAGCTCGCTCCCTCCCTCCCTCTCTCTCGGGTTCGCATTTGTTCGATTTCTTCCGATTTGGCGGGGGGCGGGTGAAGATGGTGTGAGCGGAATCCGGCGAAGGATTTGATGGCCATGGTCACGCGGAGGACTAAGAAGGAAGGTGGGGGGTGCTTCCTCGCTTCAATTTGCAAGAGGCTGTGGATGATCTCTCTTGGGTATTGCTTCGTTTCGAGAAAGTTCTTTTTACACGGAAACGAATTTCTAAATGTGCTACGCTTCCCCTTTTCCCGAGAGGAACCGCTGTGATTGCCAATCTTGTTCGAATTGCGTTCGATGGAGAATTGGACGAATATAGAGGCATGAAGTGCTTGGAAAGTCTAAATGAGAAGGTGAAGTTGAACTAAGGAGTTGGGTCTTTTACACAAAAACGAAGAGCGAATGATAGTGATGCGAGTGGAAAATCTAGAGAACTGAGGAATCGTTACCCTTTTCGGTACACCAGTTAAAGTGTCCATGAAAATAAAGAACATGAATTGGAGGGGATGTCATTTATGCTGGATAGATTAGCTATGTCAGATGCAGAAATGCTCAATGCCCCACTTGGAGTTTGCAGGTTTAGCCCCTGCAGAATACCATCTAAATGCCATCAGGCATCTAAAAAGATCTTCTTAGATCTCTGATGGTGACTCTCTCGATGTAATTTTACTGCTGGCTCCTCTTCTTTTACTGATTGAGCATTCTTTTACTGACTGAGCGTACCCTACAAACAAGGAGAGATTTAGCGGATACTGAAATATGGACTATAGGCAAAAAGTTTCTCACATTTTTGTATTGCTTGAAGTTTAATTAATCTTCGTCACATTGCAGAGGGGCATTTTGTCACATCATTTTTCCTCCAGAAACATCTGAATGCTTCGCCCGTCATATTGTCTTCTAGATATGGAGAATATTTTGGGTGCAATATAGTACTTGAGCCAATCCTGAATGGTGTCCGTTAAGATCTTAAGTTACACTTTTAATCCTTGCCTGAAGTAAGCTTTCATGCATCCAATCCACCTTGGGGTCCATAGTTGAACAACAATTTTTTTTTGATTAAGTTATTGGATTGGAGCCTGCCAACAAGATATAGATTCCCTCGCTTTAGATGACCTACTAGCCCAAAGAAATCCTCTATCAAGTGACCGATATCCCTCTCAATTATTTTGTACATTTATGACGTTTTGCCTCACTTCACAAATTTTGATTAACATTTTGTTGGTTGATGTGTGTGCTCTCTCTTTCCTCTTCTTCTGTTAATTTTATTGGGAACAGATTATTCATTCTCTCTCTTCTCTCTCTCTGTTCTTTTTTGTTTATTATGAACTCACTTTCTTTGCACATTTCAATGTGTGTTGTCAATACTAACTCTGTTTAATCATTCTAATCTACTCCATGTAAATGTATAACATCATTATGCTGGCGTGCTGCTGGCAAGGTTGTTGTCTTGGGACTTGAAGATGGTACAATTTTACTGCATGATGTCGAAGTAAGTTTTCTATGTTGTTACTTGAATGTTACCCTCATTACTTGTCAACTGGAAATTCCTCCTGCAACAGTCCTTTATCGTCAGAACGTATTCTTCTCTAATCTCTTGTGGGAAAGATTCTGAATTGCTCAAAATCTGCATGATGCAATGCAAACAGTAAACTTGCTCAGAGAACATTCAGATACTAATAGAGATGGCAATCCATTTTTATTGGTCATGTCTGTCAATGTCCAGTTAACAATGGATTGCTAGATATGTCAATCTGAGCAGGATAAGATTGACAAACAATTTTATGAGAAAACTCTATTGGAACGTGACCCTTTTGTTAAAAAGGTCAACAAATTACAAGAGATGAATAACCCGTTCAAGTAATTAGATTGAATTGAATGGGTCATTCCAATCCTAACATGACCGACATGGCATATGTACAATATGCATATTGTCATCAATGTCAAATAAGTTTGAGAAGAAACTAGTCGTAAGCTTACAAAATCCTAGGTTTACATGAAATGTTATATTTATATGGTGTGATCAAATTGTAATTTGTAACCACTATGGAAACAAAATTCATGTATGATTATTATTAGAGAACTTAATGAACTAAATATAAACAGGTCGTGATAGGTCATGTCACGCCCCGAACCCTACGAGCGCGCGATCATCCCTTCGTGGTCGTAATGTACGCGACATCCCAGGACTTGTCGCCGACCCAATCGAAACACTAACGAGTAACGCATGCGGAAGCAACCTCGAACTCTCCGTACAACATATAAACAACGGGATAGTAGAGAGACAAAGAATACACATCAACAAGACACTTTTATAAGCATAACATCGATTACAACACATACATTTGCAAGCCTTCTACGAGGCTACTATCTACGAACCATACACAATAACATGGATCGGGTGGTTGGTAAGCTTAACTCCTCTACAAAAAGGTGCACTCAAAAGACGGGGTAACTCGACCTATCCTCAATCCCCGTAGTATCCTGGCAGGGTCTCCGGATCAATCACGGTCGCGGGTCTGAAATGGTTTGGTTATACAACCATGAAAACACTTCTCAATAAGCAACTACCTAAGCCTCGCTTAGGCCAAAGCGTACTTCCGAACAAT